ACCCCCCCAAAAAAAAAAAAAAAAAAAAAAAAAAAAGCAACCAACTTTACATAGTAAATTCAAAATATCAAAAAGGGGTAGCAAAATAATTGCATTTACATACCCAATCATCAGGGTTGGCAGTGACAACATCCATATGCATTCCAACAAAAGACAAGATTTTTCCGGGCTGAGTACCCGGGTACTCCACAATAAGATTACCCCTATTAGGCTTATAAGTAACATGATTGATGATCAGTGGTCCGCCGCCGGTGGTGGTGCTATAAGGAAGAAGCGTATCAAGAACGTGATTCACAATCCTGTCTTCCTCCGGGATAAGCTCCGGCGGATTGTTCTGTACATATTTAGACTCGCCGATCAGTTTCCCCAAAAGGGTTACGAATGAATCCTTGTTTAGATCGCCCAAAATCTGCTTTACAGAAGCTGAAGTAGCCATTGTAGTAGTGAGCTGATGCCTTGTTTTCGGAACAGAGCAAACCTAGGGGAAGAATTTTGACGTTTTAACAAGTCCTATTTTTCATTAGTTATAACTAGTACCCAATTGACTTTATTAATCCATCTTGTTCATATGTAAATGGAATCCCTCAGTTTCATTTTATTTTGGCCTACTTTTTTGGATATTTCATTTTAATTTTTCATAGCAAATTAAAAGATTCTTTTTAAGTTTCTATGTATAATTCTTAGTATTAATTACAATAACAGCATTTCTCGTATAGTCCAATAAATAGGATTTGGAAATAATAAAGTATACGCAAATTTGACCTCTACTTCTAGAACGACTTAGCAGAGTAATACTATAATAATATAATATTATAATCAACTACACGAAACAACATATAATAATCAGAAATCAAAGAATAGGAAACAAGAGTAATACTACAACAAATAGAATGAAAAGCAAGTCAATGCACTCCTACCTATTACTAGTATGGACACCCTCTTGCCTAACCCTCTAACCCTGCTCCGTAACCTCCACACTTTCTCATTTAAGGTTGTGTTCTCAATGAGCTGTAACTGCATCATATCTTATTTAATTACCTATCTTCAATATTTTTTTGGTCTAACTCTACCTCTTCTTAATTCATCAATAACCAGCCTCTCAAATCTACACACTGGGGCATTCGTGTCTCTCCTCATCACATGTCTGAACCATCTCAATCTTGTTTTTTGTATCTTATCTTTCACCAAAATCAGTTTCACCTTATCTCGTATATCTTCATTTTTAATCATATCTCTTCTAGTATATCTACATATCTATTGAAGCATCCTCACCTCCGCCACTAATTTTAGCTTATTAATGTGAGAGTTCTTAATCAACCAACACTTCGCCTCATATAACAAAACTAGTCTAACCATCACTTTGTAAAACTAGCCTTTAAATTTTGGTGGCTTTTAAGATATGTAGTATTAACTAACTACATAAAATAGAGGTAGCCAGCTTTATAAGTTTAAAGTATCATTAATAAAATTAGTTTAATTAAATACACCTCTCATTGAGGGTGTTCACAGTTTGGGGAAAAATCAAACCAAACCGACATTTGACTTAGTTTGATTTTAAAATTTTAAAATTGATAATAGCTGATTTTTTTTATTTTACTAAATAAAAAAATTGAGTCGATAATTATACACATAAATTTAATAATTATTTGAATATACAATATTATTTTTTCATAAATAATTATAAGTATTTAATACATTTTAATCATTAATTTGATTCTAGTCTACTTCATTCACGTGCTGTACAATATTTTTAAATTAAGTCTAGTTGTCTATATATGTTATGGTGCATTGTCGATTTTTATTTTTTATTTTACTAAACATCAATTTATTCTTCTATGGCTTGCCTCTTTTTTTTTTTTTTTTTTTAAGGGATGAGCGAATATTAGACATGTAAAGTGGAGCAACTTCTACAATTATGCAAATTAAATATGTGAAAACTTTATAATAGTGTTAAAAATGAGCAACTTTCACATATAGCAAACATAAAAATTATATTTGTATGTTATAGCTATAGTTTGTATAATTGCGCTGCATAGTAAATTTTATGTTTGTTATAGAGCTTTTGATTTGTATAATTCGCTAGATACATCCAATTTTATACAAATTGTTCAGTTTTGTAATTTTGTATAATAAGATTTGTATTTGTATAATTATAAGTGTATAGGACGAAAATATATGTATTTGTATTTGTATATACATTTTTCTCTCGCTTTATACAAACACAAAACGCATTTTATACATTTTATACCTAAAATGTATAAAAATGGTTAATTGTATACCGAAAATGGCTAATTGTATACCGAATCAGATGGCAAAAAAATGGGATGTTTGCTGCGAATTAAAAATAAAATAAACTATGGCTATCGCATTTAATTTCAATTAATAGTTTGCTATTTCATACAATTTTCCCGTTAAAAATAATAGAAGATTCGGATACATGCATCTTGTGACAGTAAAGAGGATTTGTTGAAATAATTGTCTCATTATCAATTTATCATTAGCTAGTTATAAATCTAAAAATCGAACCAAATTGATGGTTTCTGTTTTATTTGGTTTGATGTGGTTTTAGAAATTTCAAAATCGACTAAGTTGATTTGATTTAGGTTTTAATAAAAAAATTCATTCAAATCAAATCATAAACACCCTATCTCTAATTAAAGTTTTTTAAATGGGTGTATTAAGTCAACATGAGTCAAGTAATATGAAACGAAATGAATATTTAATTTGCATGCACACTTTAAGAAATGCAATCACTCCTACAAATTTAGAAATATTTTCATTAAATCATTCTTAATTAAATAATATTTTTTTACTATATATAATTTCTTGAGCTTTTATAAAATAAAAATAAAAAAATACAATAAACTATTGAACATACAAACCTAGTTTTGGAAATATGTCTCAAATACACTTTCTTCTTCTTCTTCCTAAGAAATTAACAACATTACATTATAGTGCAAATACTTGAGTGCATATATAATAGAACAATTTTAAAACATCTTTTTCAGTATATTTTCCGAATAACTAGTTCTAAATATATTCCATTTGAATCATTTTTTATTATATATAGGAGTTAAAAAGGTAGTAATAAATAGGAGAAGACTATTAGAAAAAAATATTTTAAACATATGAAAATTGTTATGAATGATATTGGGCTTGGGCCGAATGAGAGTAATGGGCTGAAAAATCAATATCTTGGACACTGGGTTAATGGTTTCGATGGTGTAAATAGGTTACTCATTAAATATCACAATTTCACAATGCTAGAATATAAAGGTATTCCAATATTGTTGTGAAAAGTCTGTTTGCTCTCATCTTCGGATCCATTCGATATAAAATCATAATTTAAAATAATGATATAAATTTGAATTGTTTGAACATGCAATTTAGATTTCTTAAGTTATATTTTTTTTTATCAAAATACATAAATAAAAAACTATCCAATTTTATTTTTTTTCAAATTCTTATATAATCTTACCAAATAAGCAAACCATAATTCTACTTGTCTCATTTTTTAAGTTTCTATGCCCTTTAATTTCATCTTTTGGTATATAAATTGATTGGTGTTATTTTCCTCATTAATATCACTTTCCAGTAGCATGAATTTCCCCTCACATTTGTGTTGATCTTTGTTGAATTTCAATTGCATTCCGCTTCATTTGTTTTAATTTATATGACTTAATTAGATTGAACATAAAAAAAAATTAAAAAGACTTTTGACATTTATAATATACTAATAAAGTGTTATAATTGTCTGATCTTATATCTGAAGCACACACAATCTGTTGATATTTTTTAACAGATTGGAGTAAATTTATTTGCATGTTTATGATATGTAGTCCTCCTCATTTTCTCTCTTCTACTATTGCAAATGTGTTGATATTTAAAATTTACTGACCCAACTTATTCAAATTTTCTCTTGTTGAACTCGAAATCCCAGAATATATATAGTAGTACAATTCAATTATTATTTTGTCATAGAATTTTGAATTATATACCATTATCAACTATTTTTTTAAAAAAGGAAATCTAATTATGATATTGTGTTTGGAAGAAGTGTCACTGTTCCAGGCTTGCAACATTCATTGTTAATTTGTTATATGGAAAATTACATTACAGTAAGAGAAAAGAAGAAAAAAAAAAAAGGGTGTTTATACTAGTGTCCAGTATGCAGCAGGCAGGGGTATCGGATAAGTTGAGTGGCCATATTTGCAATGATTACAACTCTTTTAATTATTGATATCCTATCCCATACATTTGAACACGACTTCACCTACTTTTTCAATTCTTCACTCCACCCTAGTGGCTAAATTTGAGATAATGTGTAAAATAAATAGTTCAGATAAGAAAAAAGAACAATTAGCAAACTGATAGTTGATTTAGTTAACTTTATTGTGTATTAATACACAAATAATGATATAGTTTGAATAGGAAATAGGAACAATTGATAGTTAGATAATAAAACTCATGAAAAAGTAATATTTAATTTAATTCTGCTTTTGACTATTAACTCTATATTTTTTTTTACTTACACTAACTACCCTTGAGTTCCACTAGCCCATCATAGGGGTATGCAAAAACCAGTTAAAACGATTTTGTAATATTTTTTAGAGAAAATTTTCAAAATGTCAATATTTTAGCATTTAATGAACCCTCTTATCAACATTTTTAATATTTATTAAAAATGTCAATTTTTTAGTTTGTTATTGTTCTGATTTATGTATTTCTTTTTGTTTGTTTGATTTGAAAGAATACAATTATTTAATAATAGAAAGGAAAAAATCATGGATAGAATATTTAAAAAAAAGGAACATATCACTTAAAATTCTCATCAGTTACAATTTCAAAAGTAATTGATTGTATTCATTCCAATATGTATGAATTATGATATGTGTATTTGTATTCATTGTGGTTTTCAAGTTTGGATTTGTATAATGACATTTGTATTTCTTTATTAGTTTGTATTCATTCCAATAGGTATACCAAATTTATTTGTAGTTATTAAGAAACATATTTGAATCCATATACTTATGTAAACTCGTGTTCATTCAGAAAATATACAACATTGATTTGTATATTTTTCAAAAAAGTATATTCTTTCTTAAAATTCCAACAAAATTTGTATTCCAGTCATCAAAAACATACAAATTTACAATCAAAATTTGTATTTAAAAAAAAAATAGTATTTCTTTAATATGTTATGTATTCCAAAAAATATATTGTATTCAAAGTTTATTTTATAGAACATCTACTAAATCAGATTCCAAATTATTTTGTATTCCAAGCATCCAACATACAAAAAAGTCAATAATTATTTTTTAACTTTGAAATATGGCTGATGATTTTGTACTTGCATTTCCTTTGGGTCCTTCTGCATGTGAGAAAGATGCAAAATACTTCAATTCCTTAGAAAAGAAAACTAGAATTGTTTGATGTCGTCCAACAAAGTGTCTTTAGATGAGATATTTGATCCGGAAATCCCAAATTGAATACCTCAGTGACTGTCTAACCTTTAAAATTTCAATATTCAGATAGTAACTTATGAAGATCTTCA